GAGGTAGGAAGGAGCTGTTTGAAGGCTGAGGCAGTTGTAGCTTCAGTTTATGCAGAATCCTGGGGAAGAAGGCAGAAGTTTAACAGCAGACTGGGTCTCAGAGCTGTTGTAACTCACCTTGGTCTCCAGGTTACACAGAGTTTCTCTGCTGCTCTTGGGGAACTAAATTATTTGTGGGGGTAAGAAGTTTTAAATGTCTCGTGCTGCAGTTGCTGTTGGGTAGCCCCTTGCTTTGGTTCCTGTGTGATGTGGGTGGTTGAGAGGCAACAGAGCTGAGTGACTGTAACACTGGTCAACACAGTCCTGCTTTAGTGATCCCTAGGCTTCAAACACTTCTTTTCTTTTAAATAAAGAACAACTGTGCATCCTCAACCGCTGGCTCGTCAGTGTGGCTGTGGTGGAGTTACTGCAAGTGAAGCCGCAGGAAACGCACAACCATTCCTTTGGAGCAGGCAGGGAGGTGGTGCTCAGGGCTCCAGTTGTGAGGTGGGACTTTGGTGTCACCTTATAGGCAGGCTCCTGCTTCTAAAAAAACGTGTATTTTGTCTATGATCACCACTGTAAGAGTCCACACAGTAGTGTGGAGTAGTGCTCATGGTTAGATCTTGAAGCTGTTAAGATACGTGGGTTGTGATGTGATGTAACTTATCTCCCCTGAACAGTTTGGGTTAATAACTGTCATTCTCCTAAAACCACCTTGTCTTGTATTAGTGCAGGACTGGACAGGTGGAGCAGGGAGTTCTGTGACCCTAAACTGCTGGATATCCTTTGATTTTGCCTGTTCTTAACAGCACCTTGAGTGCTTTCAGCTGTACGCTGTGGGGGAAGGCTGCATTTTTTAAGGATCAGTTTATTAGTTGCTACACTGACCACTTGTGGTTTCCCCCCAGCCTTGAGAGGAGCTCTGCAGAACCTGGTGAAGGCTTCAGCTGAGTGTGTTCTTGCAGCTGGGGACCAGCCAAGATGAGTGGCTTGGTGCTTGTGCAGAGGAGTGGTGAAAAGCCCCGCAGCTGACCATCTGCTTGGCTGTTACCAGCTGGGGAGGGATGCAGTTTCCTGGCTGGATTCCTGCCAGCCAGAATCAATGGTGATGTTGGGGAATAATAGGTGGGGACAGTTGACTTTTGCATACGTTTTATCTTCTCACTTTAGTTCAGTGGGTGTAGAAATAGGTCTGTTGTGAACTCTGGTGGTTAAATGAGAACAGGACTTAATCCTGGAGAGTTGTAAACCTGGAATGGGTTAGTTTAGTACTTACAAAGCAAAATAACTTGGGTAAGTCGTGGTTTGTTGCTTTCTCTGCTACCTGATCTCTAGTTATTAAACTGCTCTGTTAATCTTGGGACTAACACAAAATCTAATGTTTTGCCAGGGATGAAATCTTCGCTACTTTTTGAAGCATAAAACTAGGTCGGTGATGGGTGATGCTGTCCTTGTTCCCTCAATGCTGGGAGGACTCAACATTAAGCAAAAAAAAAAAAAAAAACCCAAAATGAATTGTCACCTCTTGATTTGAGAATTACTGATATCACCCCTGACACCCTCTGGAGAATGAACATCCCCTCTGGCAGTGGCTTTAGCTTTGCTTTGATTCCTGACAGGCAAGTGGAGTAACTTGTGGTCGCTGTGAGTGTCGTGGAAGGTGGGTGCTCACCCTGCTTTAGCAGTTCAGAGGTTGTGTATTGTGCCATTGGGTTCTGCTGGGACTTGAACTGAGGGGAAGAGTTGGCTGCTTTTGCCCAGCTAGGTGGTATTTGTGAAGCTGGGCAGCGGGACCGAGGCTTTGACTTGAGAGAAGATGCAGAGATAATGGTCTGGGTGGACAGCAGGCTGCTGCCATCTGCGTGTTCCTGGAGTCACTCACCAAACAGTGAGGTTCAGGCTTAATTGCAAAGCTTGATTTTAATCTTAGCCAGACCAAAAGGGCTGCAGCAGGGCTGTGTTAGCCCTGGTGACAGCCACGCTAGTAACCCTGGAGGAGCTTCCTCAGGAAGCCCAGTTCTGCACAGAAATGCTGTGTACAGAGCAGCTTCCTCACACTTCCCTTACCAAGTAATTGGGTCTAAACTGGGCAGAGGAGCTTGGGGTTGTAGTTCACTTGCTTCCCTAGTAGTGAATTAATTCACCCTTCTCAGATATCCTAGCACACTGACTGTAAGGACCTTGGTTCTCGTTAGTGCTTGTCATTAAGTGACTTTTAATTTTATTTTATTTTTCCTTCTGCAGTGACTATTTATTCAAGCTACTTCTGATTGGAGACTCCGGTGTTGGGAAATCTTGCCTTCTACTTAGGTTTGCAGTAAGTGATTGTGCTTTAAAACTTTATTTATTTATTTATTAAAAAAAGCTACCAGGTACTAAGCAAGAACTTCTCTGCTACAAGAACTACTTGAAAGGACTGATGTCTGTCAGGTCTGGTATGCCACAGAATAATTACAATATTGCAAAGCTCTCCTGTCCTCTGCCTTTGTATTTGAGTAACACAGAAAGAGATAAACTTAACTGGACATATAATTAGTATTAATCCCTATTTTCCTGTTCCTTGAGAACAAGATGTTTTAATTTAACTTCCATCATTACACTAGTGGTAAAACACTGAAGATGGAAGAATGTTCTTGACTTCTGGGCTGTGTGCCTTCAAGCATGAAGCATACGAGTGTGTCAGGGCGAGACCTTGATCAGTTCCTACTTGATCTGAATATTTTCAGCCAGATGAAGTTGGAGATCTTCCTTGAAGAGGCCTGCTACCAACTGCTTAGCCAGAGGGAGAAGTGGGTTAAATGATACTCTAGGAATAAGGAGGCCTGAGCGAACAATAAAATGTGAAAATTGCTGGTGGCTGAAATTTGATGTGAGAGGCTCTAGTTTTCCTGTCAACAGGAAAAGTTAAAATGGGTTTGACAGCTTTTAGCAGAAGAAGCTGGAGTCCAGTGAACCCTTGATCTACGTCTGTGCCAAAGTGCAGCTTTCCCTTGCGATGGGAGGAGGAGGAATATGGGGTGTTAGTTGAGAATCTAGGATTTGATAGGGCTGCGAGGTGATGGTGGGGGTCTCACAGCCTAAACAATGGCTCTGGAAGGAGCCTGGTTGTATTTCATGTCACCAGTGTCACACAGTGCTCTCTGTACAGACAGCATCGCCCCAGTTAAAGCTCCACCAGCTGCTCTTTGTGCTGTACGAGGAGAGGGAGACACCAAAACCAGTGTGAGCACCAGAAAGATGTCACCTGCTCCACGCACAGACCTGGGGGCAGTGGATTGGGAGTGACCCCAAGGCTAGAGCAGTGCTCCCGGATCACTCCAGCCTGCTTCTCCTGCAGACACTCTTGAATTAATTTCTGCTTCATGTGAATAATCTTAACTGTTCTTTTTCAGTAGCCAGCTTACGTTTGTGCTCAGTTTTGTGGTGTTTCTTCAACACTAAGTAGCTTTTTCTTTAGAAATTGGACTCTGTAAGCTTTTTACCCTGACATAAGGAATTACTGCAGCTTTCACTTACCTGTGTTCTCCCTGCTGTAGGTTAAACAGCATCAGGCTTTTCAAACAGCCTTGAAATGTTCAGGAAATAAATGTCCTGTCATTCTGAAAGGCTTAAAGCTTTATGTTATTGTAATGCAGATGTACTTCCTGAGGTGTCTTCCATTCACAACCCAAAGAAACCCCTCGCTTTTGTCATAGCTCTTGGTTGCATAAAGCCTTTTATGGTGCATTTTACATGAAATTCCATCCTACTGGTACTTTGGGAATAGAAACTTCCTTCGTGCTGACAGGCTGATGATCACCAGAAGGTAGCAAAGACAGAGCCAGCGTTTCCTGTGTGCCTCAAGGCCTGCTGGAGACTGCAGTCAGGGCCACAGGAGCTGCTAAACCAGTGCTGTGTTTTCCTTCCTGTATTTACACAGGCAGAGCGGAGCAGAGCTTCACACCAGTACCCAGGCTGTAACTCCACAAACTGCCTTAGCAACCAGCTGTGGCAGCAGGGCCTTGGAAATTCAGATGTGGAGCACCACTGAGGCACAGCCTCTGGCTTGTGGGTGGCTGCTGTGTAATACAGATGAAAAACCATCAAAGGAAAACAAAAACCTGAGGCATTTTAATAACCAGAATGGTTATTTTAAGTAGGTCTTCACTCTGCCAATGTGAACAAAGTCTGGGTTTTAAACTGGCTCAAAAGGAGTTAACGCTTATTTCCAGAAATGAGTTTTATTGACTAGTTTTTGGAACATAAATCTTGTTGTGTGAGGTGCTTCTAAAAAGTTTTGCAGAGTTTGTGAGCAGTAAGTACTCGGTGAAGATAACCTGGCTGCCCACAGGACTTTGCCATGAGGGATCAGCCTGTTTGAAGTGCCATTGTCTGCCTGGTTGGTGCATAATGAAGTGGGTGGCTGCAGAAGAGGTGCAGCTGGCTTGACTTGTGTTCGCTCTTTCTCCTAGGATGACACGTACACAGAAAGTTACATCAGCACGATTGGTGTGGACTTCAAAATCAGAACTATAGAACTAGATGGGAAAACAATCAAGCTGCAGATAGTAAGTAGTATTTCTCAACTCCTGTGGGTACTTTAATCTGTTGAAGCGCAGAATTGGGTTCACAACTATTGGTAGTTATCTTTGGACTTTAATCAGTAAAATACAAGCGATATCTTCCCTGTTACAAGAGGCTTGGCACTTTTTACAAGACCTCCTGTGACCTGGCCTTGGAGAATCATCATAGAATCATAGACTGGGTTGGGTTGGAAGGGACCTTAAAGCTCATCCAGTCCCAACCCCCCTGCCAGCAGCAGGGACACCTTCCACTAGAAGAAGGATGGATGCTTATCCAGGCTGTCTGTGAAAGGGGAAATGACCTGTTACAAACTGATGTTTCTGGGAAGAAAGCTGAAGTCTTTACGAGCTGCTGTGAGCTGAAGAAGGGTAGAATCCTGGGCTGGAATGCTCTGGTGTCAAAACTGGTGTGGATTTGCTGTGTTTAGCAAGGATTGGTGTAAGTGCAAGAACATCACAGGGTTGTCTGAGATGCCCGAGTTCTACAGCAGCTGTTAACAGCGGGCTGCTCTGTCTAGTTCTGGAAACTCTGCTTTTGTTGACCTGAGTGGAAAAACTGACACACAAACCTCTGGAAGTGGCCCGTGGGCAGTGTTTTCTGGTGGTGCTTTTGGCCTTTTGCTTGGAATAAGCAGGGGAAGAGACTTGGCAGTTCTTTCCTCTAATCTTGAAGTGCTCTGACAGGGTGACTGGTGTAATGAAATCTAATATCTATGCAAGGTCAGACAATCCTTGTCAGCCACTGCTTCCAGCCCGAGCAGAGGAAGGCAATGACTCAGGGATTCCAGGCTGTCTTGTGGAGCAGGAGTCCAGTTGATGGCCAGAAGCCTGAGGCTCTGGTCTCTCACGTAGCTGTCCCGAGTCCCGAGCAGCCCCCCGGGAATGCTGTCACTGCCGAAAGCTGGCTGAGTCTGTTCTCAGTGTGCAGCCAGCCCTATTCCTGGCATGGCTCCAGGGAGAGAAATGTTGGGGCAAGTGCTGTTCCTGTCCTGGTGTGGGGAGAGGCCAGGCATGACCCTCCTGAACCCTCCAGCAGGAGAAGGGAACCAGGCTTGGTGTGAGTTGTTGCACCTCATCCTCCGAAGAGGACGTTGCATTTACGTCCCTTTGCTGCAGCTCCTGTACCGAGGAGGCTGAAGGGAGCGGTTAAGTTGGAGACCCACATCTCTCTGACCTTATTCTTCACAGGTTTCCAAGCCCTGGCTCACACATTTGTTCTTCTGACCATTGAACCATGACTTCTTCATGGGTCAGAGCTGCTTAATGTTTTCCTCACGCATCTCTTGACTGTACTTGGCCAAAACCAAACAGCTGGGCACTTCTAGAAAAGTACCTGCTGAAGTCTCAGTTAAAATATCTCAGTCTTCTCTGATCCTGTTTGTAGCACACGGCTTCAGAGCAGCTTCTCTAGCTGTGACTTGGGTACGGTTGTAGTTGGATCAGCTGTGCTGTGTCTGGAAGGTGTGAGGCCGGGACAGTGACTGCAGTGACTGATGCTGCTGTTTGCCTTGCAGTGGGACACGGCGGGACAGGAGAGGTTTCGGACTATCACTTCCAGTTACTATAGAGGTGCTCACGGCATCATAGTTGTGTATGATGTTACAGATCAGGTAAGTGTTACACCTGGGCCTGCGGAGTTTCTCCAGGTGGGATACACTAGCCTGATAGAGAAATAAAACTGGGAATTTTAACGACTGGTCACTTCTTCAGGAGCTGGTGACCATGTTCTCCAGGCTGCCTGTGGGTTTATCAAGCCAAATGTCTGTGCTAGTCTCTGGTGTGGGGCTAACACAGACATAAAAGGAGCAGTGGGATTGGTGGCTCTAAAGCAGTTTTACCTGCTTAACCAAAATCTTGCTGGGCAGGTAACTGATGGTTCTGTGTGAATGCTCCTCACCTGCCTGTGGCAGCAGGAAGCCTGAGTTACTGATGGAAGCTGTTGAAAGATTTCTGGATGTACTTGAGCTTTGGTCTACAATAAAAACTGGCCTGTGGAACAGAAAACTGTCGGCATGTGTGCAGGGTACAACTGAGCCAGTGTTTTCTGCGAAAGAATCTGAAGATTGCTGGTGCATTTATCCTGTTTGAAGGGCTCTTCAGAAGTGTAGAGTTTCCTGAATTAATAGAAAAAGGACAATTGGGTTCAACTGCAAACTTGAGTATCAGTTCAGCCTGGCAGTTCTGTTTCTGGAGTCAGGTTGTTCCAGCATCTCCACAATGATGTGGTTTGCACCTCATCCCTGGTGCTTTGTAAACACCTGGGATTCTTCTGGTTTCAGCTGCATGCCATGTCTCTTATCTCTGCTACAGGAGGAGGCTCAAGTGGCAGAAGTTCTTGTCTATTGAAGATACAGAGCAGGGAAAAATGAGGGGGGGAGTGCAGCAAGGGAGAGGGGGCTGGTTGTGTGGGGCTTGGAGTGTGGACTGAGGAGCTGTGTGGACCCTGTGTGACTCCTGAGGTAACTGAGGGAGGAGTGTAGCATTAACGTGTGGAGTTCTCTCTGGTGGTTGTGAATCACACCCATCAGTTAAGTGCACAGCTTCATCTTCCTTCCCAGTCATTCCTGCATCGTGCTGAGCTTTGTTCTGGGCTAAGGCTCTGGCTCACAGTTCTCTTTTATCTCCTAGGAGTCTTTCAATAACGTAAAACAGTGGCTGCAGGAGATAGACCGTTACGCCAGCGAAAACGTCAACAAGTTGTTGGTGGGGAACAAGTGTGATCTGACCACAAAGAAAGTAGTAGACTATACAACAGCAAAGGTACGTGGCTGTCGGGGTGTGTGTGTGGTGGCTTTGGTCGAGCACAGAGTCTGGATCCTCGTGCACTCGAGTAAGTTTGTGTGCAGGGCAGTGTCCTGGCACGCAGATGTCGTGAGCATCTGTAAATGGGAGCAGTTTAATGACCCCCCGCACCGCGGGCTGCCCCCAGGCTGGAGTTGGGTGATCCAGGAACGTGTGGCTTATCCAGGAGCGCAGCAGGAAACCAGGTGAGGTACGAACCAGGCTGTGAGCTCACCCTTCCCTGTTTCTCCCTTTGCAGGAATTTGCAGATTCTCTTGGAATTCCATTTTTGGAAACCAGTGCAAAGAACGCCACAAATGTAGAACAGTCTTTCATGACCATGGCTGCCGAGATTAAAAAACGAATGGGGCCGGGAGCGACAGCTGGTGGTGCAGAGAAGTCCAATGTTAAAATTCAGAGCACTCCAGTCAAGCAGTCTAGTGGAGGTTGCTGCTAAAACTCCCCTCCCCCCTTGGTTTGTTTTTTTTTTTTTGTCTCACAACAATGAATTTGCAATCTGAACCCAAGTGAAAAAAAAAAGATAAATAAAAAATACAAATTTGCCTGAATTGTACTGTATGTAGCTGCACTACAACAGATTCTTACCGTCTCCACAAAGGTCAGAGATTGTAAATGGTCAATACTGACTTTTTTTTTATTCCCTTGACTCAAGACAGCTAACTTCATTTTCAGAACTGTTTTAAACCTTTGTGTGCTGGTTTATAAACGTGTAATCCTTGTTGCTTTTCCTGATACCAGACTGTTTCCTGTGGTGGGTTAGGATGTATTTTTGTTTTGATGTTTCTCTTGGCATGTTTAGATGTCGGGTTTAGTCTTCTGAAGATGAAGTTGAGCCATTTTGTATCAAACAGCACAACAGTGTCTGTCACTTTCCATGCATAAAATTTAGTAAGATAAATGTAAGATCTGATTTGCTAGTTCCTTCTTGTAGAATTATAAATGGAAAGATCACACTATCTGATGAATAGTTTCTTCATACTCTGCATATAATTTGTGGCTGCAGACTATTGTAATTTGTTGCACAATATGTAACAAAACTGAAGAAATGTTTAATAAATATTGTACTTATTGGAAGTAATATCAAACCGGATGGTGATACATATTGTCTTAATTTGTATGGCTAAGGGGGAGATCAGGCTCTGCATTGTGCACCAAACAGCGGGGTGTGCAGCCAGGGCTCTCGGACCTCCGAGCAGCCCAGAGACCTTCCCTGCAACTCAAAACTAGTGACTATGGCCCAAAAAAGCCTGAGTTGTGGGGGTGCTTAAGGCACAGCCGCTGTACCAGAACCACCCGGCCAATGGTGAGGGAGGCACAGTGCACTCTGAATGTACAACAGTTCCCAAACTTAGTCTTGGAACTTAATTTCTTTCTCAAGGACTCTTATTTAGGGAATTCCTGTTTGCTTTGCCCAGCAGGGGAAGAGGAGGGTATTTCCCTAACACCAACGGCTTCAACGTAACCTTGAGGTGGTGTCACTTTCTACCAGTATATTATGTCTTTTCTATATACTGTTAATTCCATCCTCTTTAATCAATACTCTTCTGACTTAGTGCAACAGCTTAGTTCCTACTCTGTTACGGAAGGATGAAATGGGGACAGTGAGGCCCCACACCAGACTGTTGCTCCACGTAGGCGCTATCATCATCTCCAACAATTTGGAACTAACCAGCAGCCAAGAGGTTTTTTTGGACAGTGTGTGATTCTTTGTACAGAGCTAATCAAATCATTAGTGCCTGATGTCTAGCTAAAAGCCACAGGAAAGCTAGCCTATAACACTTCCTATACGTGTAAAATTGTTCAGCTTTATCTAAACTCCAATGTTCAGCCTCTTCTGTAAATAGTCTCATGTTTGAAAGACCATGTAACATTCCCCTAGTAGTAAATATACCCTGTGATAGTAAAAAAACAAAAATAAAAATAAGTATAGCCTAGGTATGTTGTGAGGTATAAACTAAAATTGGTGCAAATATCCTCTGATTTTTTTTTTTTGAGGGGGGGTGACTTTGGCTAACAGCTTTTCTTCAACATAGTTGCATCAATCAACAGGCAATTGTAATACATAAAGTATTGTCATGGTTAAGTTGAACTCTTCCACTTGAGACCTTCACAAATAAAGTGATGTGCTTTCTATTAGAGATGTGCTTGTTGGTATAATTCATTCTAGACTGTGACTTGCTCCTCCCCGAGAGCAGGAGCAGTAGGAGTTAGTGAGCGCTGCTGAGCTCAGGAAGCGAATGGGAAGGAGGTGTCTTGAGGGTAAAAAACATTTTCCCTTCAGAGAAGTGCACAAATGAACTTCAATGTCAAGCTGCCTGCTACATACTATCCAAACCATGTTAATATATACAGTAATAAAAGCATTGCAAAACCAGCTTGGGCTACACCAGTTGTTGGGTGGTTATTGTTTTTTCCCTTCAGTCTGTACTGTGTTGCTGTGCTCGTGCTGTTACACCTGGAGCCTGGGGTGCAGGGAAGAGGGCAGGTCTGTGCCAGGGCACTTTTACCTGTGAGCTGAAATACTAAATGCCTCTCACAGAGCAGACTTGCAGACTTCAAATGTGCAAACGTGGCCTTTCCTTGCAGGTAACACCCTTCCTGCCCTGCTGCAGACTTAGTTTAAGCATCACCCTGAGGTGCAGGACCCAGTGTTGGTCAAGCCAGCGACACTAGTCTCCCTGTAACCATTTCCTTCAGCCTTTTTCTTCAGCTGATGCTGCTCTATCAATTATCACCTGCAACTTGGCAATTAAAAAAAACCCCAACAACCCACTGCCCTTGAAACTGAGACCATGAAAGATGGGAGAGCATCAGCACCAGCCCCAATGGGTTATTTGCTGTTTGTAACTGTGGTGCTTTCCCCACCTCCGTGTGCAGTACAACGACTTCACTTTGTTCTCTTCACAAGAATGGGAGGAAATGATGTGTCTGCACAAGAACACCATGGTCACCACTTAGTTCAAAGGTTAATTGAAGCCAAGTACCAACATTCTGGAGCTGCCTGTAACTTTTTTTTTTAGCCACTTACCTTGTTCTGCTGCTTCAGCGAGGCCCTTTGCTGCTGCAGAAGGTCTGGAAACCTTGGATGGCCAAGGTGTGACTAGTGAGGAACTGCGCTGGCTGTGAGAGGGAAAAGGCACAACTCCTCACCCAGGGAACCCAGCACAGCTGCTGCACATAACAGGGAACAGCAGCTTGTACAGAACCTGCTTCTTCCCCACCTTATTAGTGTACCAAGATTCACAGAGCAGATTGGCTCTTTGTGTATAAGCACAAGAAAAACTGAAAGTTAAACAGGTTTTGCTTCGGCAGAGGACGGGTGATGATAAACAAGTGTTCTCTTTGCTCCCAGGAATGAGCAGGAGCTGCTGTTTCTTGGCTTCTAGCACCTACTTTTGCAGAGCATAAACAAAACATGAGAACACGGCTATTAAAATCACGAGGCTTTACTTAGAAGTGAGTCGCACAGCACACTATGGATTACTCAGTTAAAAAAAAAACCCCGAAACAAACAAAACCAACCCAAACCAGTGTGTTCCTGACATTTTTACTAACATGTGGAACGGGTCACTTCAATAAAAAAGGAAAACTACATTAAAAGAAACCAAACACACAAACAAACAAACGAGGCCAGCTGTACATTCCTCCCTTAGCCCACTCCCAGCCGCAGTCGGCACCAATAACCAGACACTCCAGTCGCCAAATCGCTGCCGTACAGCTCGCCCGGCTCAAGCCACAGAGAAGAAAAACAAAACCAAACAAAACAAAATCTCACACCAAACTGCAATCACTCCAAACACAGTGATCATACGTATTTGGCATCGCTGCAAGAGGTGGTTTGGTGCTCGCTGCATTTCTTCTCAGCCATCCTGTGACTAACGAAGCCCGGAGCTGATTGGGGCAGCACCTGAAAACAAATGGGTAAAGTTTGCTGCTGTGCTTTGTCTGCAATCCAACAGCCACCCCCAAACCCCTGTGCCACACTCAACTCCCCTGCACATCAGGTCAAAAAAAACCCAACCCCCAAACCCCACACAAACTGCTTCAGCTCTTGTTCCTCGCCTCAAAAGCGCTGGAAAGAACGTTTTCCCCGTTGCCCCTCCAGATTTGAAGGCGTGCTGTGGAGTGGGGCACAGGGAAATCAAATCTGAGCTCACAGGGGTAGGAGGGTGGTGGTGCAGTTATCCCAAGGTTATCCCCCAGTTCCTACATTCCTCCCTCTCGGTGCTCCTGCCACGCCCTCCTGAAACACTTTTGTCTCTGTACTTTTATGTGAGGGAAGATGGTAAAGAACTCAGCAACCAAGTTTTCTAAACGCCTGAGTTCATTTGCTTCCCTTTCCCACCATGACATGGCAAGCATAATTTATTTTTTTTTAAGGGGAAAAAAAAAAAACCCAAACAAACCCCAAAACAATCAGCCAAACAAAAAAAAAAAAGCCCTTTTCCCATCTTCCTCTTGCTGCCCAAGGGACTTTGGGAGCGCAGCTGCCTGTGCCGGACCGCTGCCGTCCCCTGCACCCTGACTGGCAGTGGGTCCCTCCCTGGAGCTGCCATCGCCCACATCACACTCGTGGTTGTGTCTGTGAACCTCAGCTGGGTCACTGACACACTGCTCTCCCCCTGACATGCATTTAAAGATGATGGGGCACCCATTTTGAGATCATCCTTCCTGTCTTCTTCTCGGCTTTCCAAACATCAGATTTAAATAAATAACAGTAAAGCCTGATGTAGAGTGGTCGCTAATTTAAGTGTTTATTGTCCTAGATTGCCCCCCCGCTGCCGCCAGGCTGGTTTG